CAGAAATACAGTAAGCTGAAGAAAACTATTAAAAATAACGTAATCGACCTGTAGGTAAAGATTTGACAGTTCAATACAAGAAAAGAAAGCACTTAGATATAGGAAAGAGATACATATATGTATATATATAGATGCATAATATTTTTATTTTTCACCTAGTAGTTCTCAAAACAATAAAAAGGAGAAGTACTGTAGTACATGATGATGTGAGTCGTTAGAAAACGAAAACAATGTAATAGTAAAGCGATTTATTTTTTTGTCACGATCTTGCCCGCATGGTCACCTGATTGTCACAGACATCTGTTCTCAATTGAAAAAATAAACAAGCACGTATGTCTCACATATAGAATACATTTTGCTTCATAGTTTCTCATCGTTTATTTCGAAAGTTCTATATATGAGTGTTGACTGTAGGCAGTGGTTATGGTTTTGTTTCAGGTTTGGTGTATCAAAAGCGGAGGATCTAGATTGGTCTGGACTTTATCCTGTACTCTAAAGTCATGATTTTTATCGATTGAGGCACTGCAATATTGTTCAGGATATGAAGTTGAAAAGGTCAATCATTTGAACATGGATATACAATGAAGAAATGTTTGTGAAAACACCTAGATCAGATTTTGTAACAAAAGTCAAGAAGATATTGGTTTGATTGCTAGTACCTCACAATATAAGTTTTCATGGCTCATAAATATATTCATTACGTATAAGACAGTGACTAATGATAATATATTTAATGTCTTACGAATCACTATGAGAGATGTGAGTCTTCTAATTTCGCTCACGTCTACACCCTCACTACGAATAAATTCTAGATACGGAGGTTTTCGAAAGATTTCATTAGTTATTTGACGTGAAATACTTCGCATAGTGTTACTGATATATTTAGTATTTGATATATCTAATGTTGTTCGTTAGAAATGAAAATGTTTGAGTAAATGTTTTAGAGCTAAACCAAATGTACATGATAGACCTATAATTATATCATCTAGTGGTTAGACAACAGCATCACGAATACACCAATTACTGGCTACATTCGAATTCTTTAATGCTATTGGTGAATATATATCAGATGTCAGAAAAGTATAGATCATTTGCAGAGTAATAGGACTCTCAACTACGATATCTTATTGTAGCACTGCATATTTAGCAAGCGAGGATATGGGACTGGGTATGATTGAATTACTTCACTCTGTTACACTCACATCAGAAAAGATCAAAATCATTTTTAATCTTTTAAGTTAACTGAAATTTAATATTTTTGAAACTATTAACTAAAAAGATTTGATTGAAGAATATTATAGAAAAAAATTTATTTGACAAAAATAATCATAAATTACAAAGAAGCATGAGAAAAACGACATCTGTCCTTGACTAATAACAAAGAGTGATGCGAACGTTGTTTGTTTTTTGTATATTTCAAAAAATAAATCGATGTAACATAAATTGTTCAATTTTTGAGAATGCAATAACAATTGATAAGAATAATAATCAAGATTATGACTGAAATAATAACTCTACAATAGTCAGGGACTGAATCACTATCATTTGAATCCTGTAAATAGAGAGTAATTATCAATGTAATATTTTAAGAAAATTATATTTGAAAACTTACTTGAATTGCTATTTTTCTATCATTTTCATCTTCAGTAACATCTAATGAAATATCTGTAGTTGAACGAAAAGGAATTTTGATATGATTTTTTACATCTTTATCCTTCATATGTGAAAAATTTTCCTTTAATAATGTTGGAAATATTTTTGGTTTGATAAAAGCTTTACGTATTGGACTCATAATAAGTAAACGTTCAACAAACCAAGCTAGTTTTGCATAAGTTGATTGATTAAATGAACATAATAGACAATTTTCATTACAAATTATTTTACCACAAATTTCACGACTAAATGTTTGTTGAATTTTTATTAATATTTCATCCGATGTTTCACCAATCATAAATGATACTGGAAGGTCAAAATCGATTGATAATAATTTTTCAGTAAGATTTACACCTAATTCATTCATAAGAACATCTTCAAATGCCATTCGATCCATATAAAACCAATTGTCCATTGTTAATGATAAAGATAATTTTTCTTACGAAAATAGCTATTGGCAAGAGATGAATGATATCTGTAAATGCATCATACTATTTATATACTTATTTAAACAATGAACGTCCGACCAGTTTGACATAGCTAAATGAGTCGTCAAGAAAATGTTAACTGTCTATTGTTATCAGGTTTCATATCTATTGAATCGGCATATTAGAGGTCTGAGTGTTTCTGTTGATATGCTTTTATCAATGAATGATCCGTCTGATCAATGTATAGGAATAACTCCGTCTTAAAGAAGAATATTCATGAATGGATGTCGGAGAAGACATAAACCATACCCTCTTTTATCTGTATTGTTAGTTTAGATTTAAATTTCGAAAAATCTAAACAGATTTCATCTCTGGTGTGCAGCAGAACTAATGATAACTTATCATGCTTGTATTCTTTTTGTACTTATTAAATCAATCATTATTCAAAAGTTGAGTTGTAATATTTGAAAAACTTACGAAATATAATATTGGTTATAAGATGACTAAGAAGTTTAATATCTATTTGACTTAACCGAAAATGAAAGGTATTGCTTTTATTTTACTTGACGTTCTCCTAGATCGGATGTTCAGTAGAATGGATTTCGATTTGGGTGTGGGTGTATCTTATATCTAATCACACCCACACCCACACCCTCTCATTGAAACAACCAAGACAATCAAATTTGTCACAATCAGAACAGATGGTTTTTATTTTCTTTGCTGCCGCATGACTCGCTTCTCTTGATTATCGTTGCCTGATTCTTTTCTTAGCAGTCGAGCATAACGTCTTCAGACATTCCGAGGAGATTCTTCTTTCTCTTCGAGCGAGTGATTAGTGAGTTTGCGCTTCGTTTGATCTGTTGAGTTTTGCCTCGGATTCAATTTCAGCTTCTCGAATGGCATGCCAAACAGTAAAGATTGGAGAAGACTTTCACGAAACTGGAGAATGGTCACTTCACTTGCAGCATAGTTTTCCTTGTATATTAAATAGCTATTAAGTATTGCCGTCCCATAAATTAATTTAAAGGCCATCTTTCAGTACCATTTTCTTGACCGCCTGAGGCATGTATAGTATGTCAATAGTTAGTCAGATAAATCACTACTCTATTTCCTTTTGTTGTAATCTAGAGCAACCTGTGGCTTCATTCTGCAGTTTCGTGAAAGTCTTCTCCAATC